CTTTTCTGACTGAATCCAGCACAATATGTTTTTTCCTCAAGGTTGGCATCTGATAGAGGTGTATTGTGCCGTCGAGTTGCATTCAAGGTGTTGTCTCTTCTGGCTCTCTGAGGGTCTTGGTGTGGTAGTGACTGGATTTGTATTGCTTTTCCAAAAAGTATGTGATCATTTGCTCTTGAAGAAAATCCACCTGGCAAGATCGTTCCCAGGTGAATGTTGCTTTGCATCTCTTGCTAGAGAACCAGGATGCTTGGGTTTTCAGGATGCTGGCATGGTGTTTGGTACTTGGCCGTTGTTTGGTTATTGCTGATAACAGTGGGATGAGGCCGAACAGATGCAGCTGACTTCCCTGTATGAACTATTTTATTTAAGTCCAGAACAAACTGATGTGCAAAGTACATTGTTCATCAGAGGAAGATACCTAAGTGACGAATTCAAAACAGTATGGATCATGATGGAAGAGAGTCACATCAGTGGATAAAAGCATGTTTCTTTAAAGGACTTCACAGAGCTGCTTAGCATTTAAAGTCAAGGGTAACCCAGCATAATTGAGAAGAGAGTAGGCACCGACCTCCTGCAGAGCTGCTTTAGATGCATCATGCACACTTAAGGCACTTTCTAAATAATAACAATTGTCTGATGTCAGGTACTGGAACTTAATATAAGGAAAAGCACTTTTCTGTTCACTCTGAGATTGCCTCTTTAGAAAGGAAGTTGTGATATTCTGTAAGTTAAATTACATGCTTTTGAGAAGGATAGCTGTTTTGGAATGTTTTTCTGACCGCTACACTTTCTCTACAAGCTTCTGAAACACAGTTCTATGCTTAAAACGTGTAACAGTGCAGTGGGTTGGGATTGACCACGTCAGACTGTTAATAGCAATTTATGAGTGGGGCCTTGACTTGGAACAGCCTTCAGAGGGGCGTCAGGAAAGGCTGAAAACCCCTGGCCAGTGCAGAAATGTCTGCGGGACAAGCCCAAAGACCTAAGGCTTTTTGACTTGGCTTTGCTGGTTCAAAAGGGCACTGAAGAGGTGTGTAGGAAAACACTTGATTCTTCCCATGCTCTCCACATAGCAGGCTCTTCATGCTCTTATAAATAATGAATTGCAGCCCTAATCCCAATAGTTTGTCCTCTTCATAGTGGTAACCTATTGGAGCTTGCACTGCGTGAGTTGCTTGTGTCAAAAGGAGTAATTTATAATGCTGTGGCTTATGGTAGCAAAGTGCTGAACAGCTGAGTTGTAGATTCCACGCTTTCCATGTTTCTGTTGGCTGAAAAAAATATCGTTAAGGCATCCCGAGCGTGTGAGCCTTGAAACTCCATCTCCTGAAATGGAAAAAGTAAGTAGTTGTCCCCTCCTGCTGCAGCACTTGGCATCAGTCACAAGTGGAAATGTCTGAGTGCTTTGTCATGGCAGTGGGCAGTACCGCACGTCTCGGCACCGTACGGCGTTGTACAGCCGCCCTTTGCCTAGCCTCTTTCACACAGAAGAGACTTCAGAAGAGGGTACGGAATTCAGTTCAGGTCAGCAGTTCATGCACTTCATACATTTTCAGGTTAGAAAGGATTATTACGGTCCTGTTACTGGAACTGAGAACATCTCCAAGTAATTTTACTATCAGGCCTGTAGCTTCTAGTTTCATAAGAACAGATGGGAAGGGAAAAAGGAAGTATAAACGAAGAAGAGGAGATTAGTGAGAGTAGGTGGGAACTGTAAAAGCAAATGAGTGGAGTTGAGATAGAAAGGTGCCAGCAGCTATTTTAGATAAGTGAAAATCTTCTTCACGAGCACCAATAGATACACTGGTTTGCACTCACCAGCAAGATGCCCGAGTTCGTGCATTAGCAGTGCATTCACTGAGCAGGCAGTAGTGTCACAGCACAGGCTGACAGAGAAATGCATTTGTACATGGGAGGATCCATGATTTTTCAGCAGCTGACAACATTTGACACGGCTCTATTAATCGTGTTAGTCCTGCAGTTTGACTGAAGTCCAGCTACTTTTCATCAAATATGCTCTGCTGAGCATTACAGAAATTGTAGCCAGAGTTCTGGAATTTGATCTGGGTGGGTGGTGTCAGCTCCGGCTTACGTGTACCTGTAAAATTACAAATCAGCTTTGCGGGGCAGCGGCAAGCTATGAACGAGCTGAGCCAGCCATGGGGTGCCTGGCCTGATGAAGCCTGTCATCTTTAAACAGAGAACGTGCGAGCTTTGTTTGCAGCACCTGATGGTACAGTAAAAATAATATTCCTCTGAGGTGCCCACAAATTTGAATAGCAAGGAACCCCTAAACTTATCAATCAGAGTATAAATGAGCCTTTTTTTACAGAGCTACCCGTAGCTCTGTTTAAAGCTGGAGGTCCCAAGGTCATGTGAAGGAAGCAATAATCCGTAGTGATTGTGCTAGGGTGGTGTGGAGGGATGCAGAGGGGCATGGCCACATCTCCAGAGTGAGGGCAGGAATAGCTGTTTTATTCTCGTGCTGGCGCTGGCTTCATGGAGAGTTGCTGTGACTTGGGACTTCAGTAGGGGTTCAGTGTGAAGGACAGACTTGGAAGGACTCGTTGGTTAACTTCTCCTTTGCTGGCCAAAACAGTACCTACTGTATTTATTTTCCTTGCATTTGTAAATGGTGGTGTCTTATTTTTATACTGCAAAGCAGCCTAAAAATCAGAGAAGGCTTAACTTGAAGATCATACTTGTATTACTGAGAATGTCACAGAAGTTGCACTTCTGTGACTCATGTTTTTACTTAAAACCTAGTGTTTGTGTGTCTGTGTGTTGTCTCCTGTATGTCAGGGGGAGAAACCCTCCAGTTTACTGCCCAGTTGATGTGCACATTGGAGACATGCACATCACTGCCTTGAGTTCAAACACTCCATTATGAGATGGTGCAGAAAGAGCAGCAACTCCCACTTAGTCTCATTGTGCAGGTGGGAGAGCCTGGAATTACTGCAGAAGCCCAGGGTGTTTGAGTGCCTCAAACCCATGCAATTCCTCATGAGCGGTGTGATCAACCACACTGTGCTCTCTGAAGTTGCTTGTGTTTTTCTCGAGGGCAAATCAGCACTGTTAATATTCCCATCTTCCTGTGGAGAATTGTGATCAGCTGTTCTGTACATTATTTGCGTGCTGCTGTTGTCATTTGATAAAAGGAATCACACCATGGTTCTTTGCTTCAGTGTTAAATGCTACGTTGGATGCTATAATAACCTAATCAACATTCAGATTCATTCAGCCATTCCAGTGTAAACATTTTGGAAAATTAAGAGCATCAAAGAGTAAAAATGTGAGTAAAAATTAGTAATGTTTTTCCCCTGTGTGTCTCTCAGTTGCATTTTACATTAAGTATACTAATTAAATAAACACTCTTTTGTGTAATTCTTAAAATGACCCAGATCTTCAGTATGTGTCTGAGCAGGCACCCCGGTGGTTTGCCTAAATGGAAGGACAAGCAGTGAGCGTTAATCGTGTGACAGGGCCTCCTCTCGCCTCTAATCACTGCTGAGTTGAGTCAACAGCAGAGGAAACCCTCTGAATATCTGGAAGACACTGAAAACAGACTTTTTGTGGGTGCTTTTTTAGTGCTAGGGGGAGGTTGCAGGTACCACTTCCTTAGCAGCAATGCTGGCCTGAGCTATCCTTCCTCTTCCCTGGCTATCCCTGGGGTGCGTCATGCCCTCCATTACGCTGCCTCTGCTACTGGGACAGGCAGATGTCCCTGACACAGGCAGAGCACAAAAACGGTTGGGGCTCCCCAGGGAGAGGTGGTAGGTCTGTGGTTGTCCGTACTGTCCTGGTAACGCTTGCAGGCATGGCCTAGTCGGGTGCAGCCATGAAGGTATGTGTGCCTCTTCCTACAAAACTGACTTCCTACCAGTGATAGTCACTGAGTACGTGTCACGCTGATCAAAGGTGGATCAGCTGGGGACACCGTGGCTTTGGTGGCTGGAGTCTACAGGAGTTACTCCATAACAGATTATGCAGTTTGGCACGGGAGGTACCCTGAGCCGCCGTCTGCAGCAAATCACTGTTTCTTGTGTGACTAACAGACATTAGTGCTTCAGGAAGCAAACTGATGGACTGTTTTTTTTCTCTTCTGAAAAACTTTGTAAATTCTTTCTATAGCTCTCAATCCAGTGAAGTAATGGGCGTTTTTTTGTTCATAGGTAACGTTGTTGGCAACCTGGGACACTCCTTTTTCAGCCAGAGCTTCCTTGGAAGTAAAGAACATGGAGGGTTCTTGTACGTTGCGGCTACGTATCAGTCCCTGCAAGACCTGGTGCTCCCAACCCCACCGTACTTGTTTGGCATCCTCATTCAGAAATGGGAGACTCCCTGGGCTAAAGTGTTCCCCATTCGGCTGATGCTGAGACTTGGAGCAGAATACAGACGTAAGCACCATGCGTTCTTTTAGCGGCAATTATTTCTGCGGGAGAATGTATTCCGGTTTAGAGCACACACCCCCAGCCCCAAATTGTTACCTGTCAAAGTCACGTGAGCTTCAACAGGCAAGTAAATACCGAGTTTCGTGCCCACATTGCATCCAGCTAACAGCACAGCAGGACTGAGGTGGTGGTGTGAACTGTACAGCCTTCTAGCAGTTGTACTCGTTGATCTGGGAGGTTTTTGTGGAGACAAATCTAGACCTGAGCAGCTGTCTGTAGTTCACTTAGTGACCTGAAATAGAGTTACAGACCAAGTCTGATGCAGCTGGTGTAGTTAGCACAGGGGAGAGCCTTTGAGATGTTAAGCTTTTTCCATGCTGAAATGAAAGTGCTTTTGGGTTTTTAAAACCACACTCATTTACCAGAGAATAACAATACGTGCGCAGGGGCAACTGAGGTGGCAATTTGTTGCAAAAATTCTGTTGCAACAAGGAACAGATAAACTGGAGAGAGTGTTCTCAGCTCAACAAAATCTCAGCATGAGATTAGCATGAAGTTAGGACAAAATCTTTTTCAACAGACACTTGCCATTGCTGCAGCAAAGGGTTTATTGGAATTTTGTCCCCTATGATGGGCCAAAAATTTGCTGTCTTGCTCATCTGCTCTTTTAATTGGCAAATTGGTAAATCTGAATCACTGTGAAAATGGTCTGTTAATTATTTTCCAACACTTTTCCAAAACTTTTAACAAGATAAGTTTTAGAATATGATTTATAGGGATTTGTAAATTTAACTTGTGATGTTTAGGGAACACTGGGAATTTTTCATAAAATACGTATGTTACTGGAGAGGAAAAAGATGATCTTCAAAGTTTGCTGTCTGAGGATGAGGGCTGCAGGTTGAACTTGACCGAAGATACCTTAGTGTTAACGGGGTGTAAGTTGCTGGGGGTATCTGTGAGGTGTTGAAGTAGTGTATTTATTCCCATCAACGTTTAGAAAAACAAAGGAAGATGCTCATATTTTCGATGTGACATCTGTTTTTGAGCACAGAAACAAATGTTTTGATGTTCACAGGCAGAAGCACTTGAGTATGTTGGGAAGCTGGGGTTGGATTCACTTCTGTAGCTGTGGTTTGGCATATTCACTTGTGCTGTGACATTGCAACTGCAGATTACTTCCTCGGTCCCCTCTGAGAAGAGGCTGCATTTGTGTCCCAGGTTTCCTTGGATACACCCTCTTTTCTGGTGGAATTGTCAGATTTTGGCCATTTGTCCAGTGCAGCTGAATGGGCAGCAGATGGGATGCAGGAGTCGCTGTGGGTTGGTAGATGTCCAGAGAACACCTGCTGAGCATCTGCAGATCACCCGTAGAGCTGAAGCCCAGGGAATTCAGTGCGCCTGGGACGTGGCTGAGCTGCTGTATGCAGCCAGGGTGGCAGACATGGGAGATCCAACGCCTCCTGGTGCCTCCGGACACTGTTTGTGAGTTGGTCAGCTGTATGGTGCCTGTGCAGGAGCTGTGATGCTTTCCAGGTATCGCATCAGGGTGCGAAGCTGGAGCTTATTTCTATCAGGAAACCCTGATGATGTTATTCGAACCTGCTGAGCATTTTGCAGCCCCTTCTGACTACGGTGGAAACTGTGAAGGCGTGTGGCATTTTGGGAAACCAGGCTGAGTGTTTGCCTGAGGATAGTTTAGGAACCTTCCTTCAAACATGCGTTTAGAAAACCTTGGCATTACATATTACTGGATGAGTCATGTTTCGAGCGCTGTTATGGCTTCTGCTGCAACAGAATGTGATGGAGCCAGATCCATACACTACACTTAGAATGTTTTACAAGCGTGGCTGCCAGCCAAGGAATGCAGATATTTTGCATTGCTGACATACCATACCTTTTAATTGTTTTTGACATACTTCTGCAGAGAATTTGCCACATTCTTATGAGCTCATGAAAACAGAAGATGAAATGTTATCACTTGAATGTCACACACATGAGCACAGAAGGCTTACGATGCTATAGTGGAGAGCCGCAGGGGCGTCATAGGACAGGAAGAAGCCATTTCCAAGAAGTAGCCTCAGAAAAGCATTTAGAAAGGTCTTTGGAACCAGTGTCCAGATCACTAGGTTCAGTTTTGCAGTGTGGCACCTGTAAGCATTCCACATAAATCTTCTTACTGTTTCTAGCATGGAGGGCAAGGAGCCAGGACACACGTGTAAGGTGCGTTAGGATGTTAAAACCTTCTTTCCTTTTGCTGTTTAACCTCTGGTCTTCTTTCCATTCTCTTCTTTTGCTGCTGCTTACCATAGTCAGCTGAGGAGATTCCATTTGCATCTGTTTTTCCAGAATCTCAGGATGTACATTTCAATCTGACCTTTTCTGTTTTGTTTTATCCTAGTTTATCCATGTCCACTTTTTAGTGTCCGATTCCGTAAGCCTTTGTTTGGAGAGACGGGACACACCATCATGAACCTTCTTGCAGTAAGTGCTGAGGCTGAGTTTGCACGTTCCGTCGGTGTGAATGGGTAGATGTAGGGAGAAACGTACTCCTGGCACGTAGTAGCTGGCATGCTTAGAAGGCGACAGTAGGGAATAGTGGGCATTTTGGGTGAATTTACCGGCTGTCACTGATAGGGGATGTGAGCGTTCAACATCATGAGTTGTAAAAAGGTCAGCTCCCAACACCTGAGAATGTTTGGGTCTTGAAACAAGAGCATTAGTTGCTCAGATTCCTTCCTCGGAAGTGCTGGGTCATCCCAGTGTGCAGTCACAGCTCTGGTCATACAGCACGTCAACTGAAGCCAAGTTACTGGTTCTTCCTACTCTGCTAGTGTTTTCAGTATAGAAAATTCTCTTTGATTCATCTCACTGCTAGAAAAACTCTGTCCACTAATGTGACACAACACAACGAGCAAATTTTCTTATGTACAGTGGTGACATTCAAGGCTGGAGAATTTTAATTTTGATGTAGGAAATGAGTGAAAAGGGTAACAGGATGATGTTTTTCCATTTGTGTACTCAGATTAGTAGGTTACGAGGTGCGATGTCTCCCGTCCTCCCTGCCTTTCAGTCACCCACTGCAATTACTATAATGGGCTGACTAGTAGTCACCAGGATAGTTATGAAACCTACAGTGTCATGATGATCATTATGTCTAACTTTTCAAAACTTGTTTTAATTACCAGGATTTCAGAAACTACCAGTACACGCTGCCTGTGGTCCAAGGCTTAGTGGTTGATATGGAAGTCAGAAAAACCAGCATCAAAATTCCTAGCAACAGATACAACGAGGTAAAACTTGTGTGCAGTTTCTTTGTGGTTGGAGGACTTGGGCTCGAAAGGAATTTGATTTTAGTCACCAGGGAAAACTGCCTCACAAGTGAATGATAAATGCCGTGATGCGCATGTTTTGAGAGTGAGGGTGGCTCCACACAAAGAATGCAATTCAGTTTAGTACTAACTGAACTCTTAAACTTGCTTTCTTCTAGTTTTTTTGTTTACATATAATGTGTAATTGTAAATAACAGAAAATATCTGAACTCTTAAACTTGCTTTCTTCTGGTTTTTTTTTTCAACTGTTTACATATAAACTGTAATTGTAAATAACAGAAAATACTGGTTTGGTTTGAGCAAATGAGCTGACAAACTTTACACTTGAGGTAAACTACAAGGAACATGTGCATTAGCTTTTCTCATCTGTGCTGTGTGTGCATACTCGCAGCATTTATTAGTATTTTCGGGGTTGCTGCCTATTTTACAGAAAATTTCTCTCAATGTCTAAACTTTATACCTGATTTCTGCTATGAGATCAATCAGCATCTTTAGGATTTAGTGCTGTTGAGAAAGCTGGGTGAGAAGATGCTTGAGCAATAATGAAAGAGCAGTGGAGAAGGTTGATTTCATGTTCTGAAGAGGAGAGGGTAACTTGGGGTTTTGAAGCCAGTCAGAACCTCCTGGGCAAAATGGGATTTGTAAACGTTCTTGTAATACCACAGCAGAGTACAGCTTCATCTCAGGAGGGAATTTCCCTGCAAGAAGCATCTGAGTAAAATAACAGTGAGAGTAAAGAAATAAATTTTAAAAAGGAAAAAAAAGTGTTTTTACATGAAGTTTGCCCAGAGAAGCTGTGGATACCCCATCCCTGGAAGTGTCCAAGGCCAGGCTGGATGAGGCTTGGAGCAACCTGGTCTAGTGGAAGGTGTCCCTGCCCATGGCAGGGGGGTTGGAACTGGATGATCTTTAAGGTCCCTTCCAACCCAAACCAGTCTGTGATTCTAAGTTTGAAAAAGCTGAAACTGTGGAAGCCGGAAGATAAAGTGTCTGTTAAAAGGTGTTTTATTTCTTGATGCAGTTGGGAGAAAATGGAAAAGGTCAGTGAGATCTGCATGAATTAAATAGGGATCGGCACACAAGCTGCAGCTCTGTAAGGGCTGGCTGTGCCTGACGTTTGCAAGCGCCTTCGCTGCGGTTCTGGGTTCGACACTGCACTAAGCTGGACTGTGAGGAAAGCCCTGTGCCACGCAGCTTAGCAGAGTCTCTGCATCGTGGTTGGGTTCTTTTTCCAGTGTGAAGCCTAAGGATTCAGCTTTTTAAATGGAGAAAGGGTTATTTATTTCACATTATTGCTTGCAATCCAGTTGGAAAGTAGAGTTACTAGGTAGAGTTTTTCATCTGAGTATAGTTTGAATTAAGATGATTTGAACTGCAAGACCTCTACTTTTTTTCTCATGTAAAGCAGTACTTAATTAGAAAAGAGTGTCACTCAAACTACCTAGACAGTGAAAAACTGGTTTTAAATCTCATGGATGGATTCAGTGTGGAGAATTCAGACTGTAATTAACAAATTAAATATTAATATATAGTTTTATTATTAAATAAATATTTTAATCTTCAAAATTATTTTAATTTCCTACAACTTCTAGCAGTACTTAGTTGCCTGTTTAGTCCCTCGGCAAAGGTGACTGTCATTTTTTAATCAGTTGCCTTGTTACAGAGGACAGTTGCCACATCCAGTTGTTCCATCTTACCCTTAGGGGCAAGTTCTGGGCTCCATAACGACGGCTGCCGTTGAGCTGAGTTTCTGGAGCATGTCATGATAAACCAGCTAATGAAATACACTGTTGTCTGATGCAGAATCTTAATTAAGTTTCCTCCCCAAACATTACACCTGTGCACATTTGTCAGCAGTGAGCATCAGCGAATGTTCCTGACACTATAATTACGGTTTTATGTCAGACTGAGAGAGACAAATGCGATGCATGTCGTGCGTGTGCTTATCAGCTACAGGAAGCAGAGGATGGCAGGACGAGTGCTCTTAGGAGATGTCAAATAATTCAGCATTTTCCTTCTCATCAGGGTTTTCACCGGGGGGTGTAATTTAATATGCCTTTTTTTCTTTTAAGCAAACATACAATTTTTCGTTTTGAAACAAATTCCAGAGATAGATGACTCCCTCAGTTTTCTTTTGGATCAAAAATCTCATAGTTTGACTTCATGAAGAGAAATAGAGGAGAAAAGGAAAGCAGCTCTGTAATTTACAAGAATATTTTGTCAAGGCATGTAACTAGGTGTGTGTTAGATGATGATGAGCAAAACTTTATATATCAGAAACTTTTTTGGATGCTTTTTGGAGGCCTCCTTCGCAGAGAATTCAAATTACTTCTAGATGTCTACAATTCAAATCTTTTATCAAAGTCTTCAGTTTGGGCACATTGATCCCGATTTCACCAGTTCATGCAGGTGAAGCACAGAGACACTAAAGCTTTGGTGTCTGGTCATGGCAGAACCAGGATTGAATGCCACAAGTCTGAGTGCCAGTGTTGCACTGAACTGTGGAGGCAGCGTTTATCATTTATGGCACAAGCACCTGTAGTTGTGTAAGCAAGCCAGATGTTTTTTCCTGTGAATTTACATTTTTAAAACAGTTAGAGATAATAGCTTGTGCCCCCTGTGCTCAGCTATCCCTTACACATTCACCTTAAGTACATGAAAGGTGGCCCTTTAAGGCCTCTACACAGCGTAAGACCTGAAGCCTCTTGCCAAACGCAGGGTATGGTTCTGAGTGCTATAATCTGACCTGAGAATATGAGCACTGTTGAGAAGCTTCCTCTGATGAAACTGTTCCGAGAATCACCTGTTTCTGGTAGCGCTTGACGAACGGGGTGGAAATGGTAACCCTTTCTGTTTGCAGATGATGAAAGCCATGAACAAATCCAACGAGCACGTTCTAGCAGGGGGAGCGTGCTTCAACGAGAAAGCAGACTCGCATCTGGTGTGCGTTCAGAACGATGACGGGAATTACCAGACGCAGGCCATCAGCATCCATAATCAGCCGAGGAAGGGTGAGGATGGGGTTTTGGGAGGTGGCTGTTCCCTGCCGGTGCTCTGCATGACTGGGTCGTGTTACCGGTCCCGTGTGTGGCTTTGTGAATCGGTCTGAACGGTGTTTGGCTGCGTTTCAGTGAGTGTCTGTTAGACATCCAGGGAGCGTAATTCTGACCGCTGGCGTTACTGCATGGGCAGCTTTGCATTAGACACGCAACCCAAGGAGTAGCAGCACGGTGCTCTGCCTGCCCTCTGCCCCCTTGGTGTTTTATTCCCCTTGCAGGGGGCACGCTGCGGGTTGCATCCTGTGTACAGTCCACATCGCGCTTCCCTAGGTCAACGGTGCTGTTTGGAATTTGTCTGAGAGCTGTTCTGGCAACTTCCTAGATCAAGCAGGCATAAAATAAAGCACAGAACAGCTTGCTGCCTTGTAAACATGGTAACAGGCCTCGCACCGTACAGCTCACGGGGCTCCAGAGGTCACAGTGGCTTAAGCAACATCTCTCCATGAGTAACGAGCTGCCGCTGGCATTATTGGAGACTACAGGTGAGGCTGTGGTTGCCGGTGCCTGACCTGTGCTGTGTGAGAGGAGGAAGATTAGATTTAGCGTGAGGGAAAGGTAAACAGGAATAACCATCAACAGCAGCGTTTTAATAATGCATCTTGAAGAAGGTTCTCGTGTTCACCTCAATTAGACCATCTAATTTCCAGGCTTTATTTCTGTTGGAGTAGGCTGCAGCAGCAGCGTGGCTGAGAATTTAAATGTAGTGGTCTGGGGGAAAAATTTATGGCAAAGACATTTTACTCTCTCCAAATGAGAACAAGCGAGACAGAGGCCAGCTTGTATGGCTTCCAAGGATGGCCAGTCGCTCCAGTGACTATACTGGTATGGAGTATCACTCAGGATGGATGGTCTTACCTGGCTTCATGTTACGTACGGGACAAGAAAAGGGATTTCCAGTAGGAATTTCCTGATGCTTAGTGCTCATTTAAGAGAATTTTACTTTAAATCAGGTGGCTTTGAGCTGTGGCCCTGCCAGTGGGTTGGTGTTAGAGAGTGATCCACAAATGGCTGTCGTGGTTGAGCCCCAGCCAGCAGCTAAGCATCACGCAGACTCGCTCGCACCGGCCGCGGGTGGGATGGGGGAGAGAATCGGAAAAAAACCCTTGTGGGTTGAGATAAAAACAGTTTATAGGACAGCACAGGGAGAGGAAATAACAGTACAATTGATAAAGGAATGTACAAAACCATGATGCACAACGCAGCAGTTGCTTACCACCCAGTGATTGATAGCCCATCCCCAAGCAGCGATCCCCGGCCCACCCCCCGGCCAACTACCCTCAGTTTATACACTGAGCATGCGGCCTTGTGGTGTGAAATGACCCTTTGGTCAGTCTGGGTCAGCTGTTTGGGCCATCCCCTCCCAGATTCTCTACAAGAAGAGGGGCAGCATGAAAAACTGCAAACACCCTTGGGTTAATATAAGCATTACCTGGCAACAACCAAAACATCGGTGTTATCAACATTCTTTTCAGCACAAATCCAAAATGTAGCCCCATACTAGCTGCTAGGAAGAAAATTATCCCAGCCAAAACCAGCACACAGCTCGCTCATGATCTTTGCCAGCTGTGTGGTAACATTTAGAAGTTAATTATGTACTGGATTACCCTAAATTAGTAATCCTGAAACGTAGAGGTGTGTATGGGGAGAGGGCGTGTGATGAAATATGAGCTTTCATTGAGGTTGATAATAACTGTTGTCCAGTTGAGAAAGTAACTGGGTGATTTGCCCTTCCATAGCCCGGCTGGTGATGTGCAGTAAAGTCACCACAGTGCTAAACAGTTTGTGGGATTTAGCCTCATCTCCTCGCTGGATGACAGAGCTGTGATACCCGAATCTTGTGTAAGGCGCTGGTTAGAGGAAAGCCTCACTAACTCACTCCTGTTGTTGTTGTTGCAGTGACTGGTGCCAGCTTCTTTGTGTTCAGTGGAGCTTTAAAATCCTCTTCAGGCTACCTTGCCAAATCCAGTATAGTAGAAGGTAAGAACCAAACGGCTCGCTTAAAACACGCTGCTTCCCTCTTTACACGGCTCTGTAGTTATCAGGGCTTTGCTGTTATGCCTTGGGCACTTGAATCTTGCTGCTGCTTCAGCTTATCCTACTTATTAGCCAAAAAAACCCTGTTTTATTTAAAGAGGAGGAACTTGCCCAGATGCTGTAGAATAGAGGCACAAGATAATGAGGGTAAGGTGTAAAATACCTGGCTTGAGGAAATGCTGAGCCTCAGAAATAGGGAGTGCGTAATCCACCGTGCAGGAGAGGAAGCTCTGCTAAGCTTATTCTGTTCCCAAACAGCTCTGCATTATGCCAGATTATGAACGTGCGTTATGTGCTCGTATGTGGGCAGATGAGAACCTGACAAGTCGAGATTGTCGAGCTGGACCTCTCTGATTGGGTTTGTTATTCTACCAGTAGTTGTATCGCAGAAATAACTGCTGACCGTGTGCACTGGGTTGAAATCCGTTACTGCTCGTTAGCTGAGCTGCAGCACTTTGCCTGCCCTGTCACAGACTGCAGTAGCATTCCAAGTGTGCTCCTTACAGTCTGTGAGGGAGGTGTGCGAGAAGCCCGTGCATGCAGTCGGTTCGCACAGCCCCCCTGACGAGCAGGAACTCTAAGCTCTGCCAACTCGAGGGCTTGCAGCTGTATGAGCTGCAGCCCGTGGTGAACGGCCACCCAGGGCTGCAAAGCAGCCACCGCACTGTCCGTCAGTCCATGTAGGTCATTACGCCCTTTTCTGTGCCTGAACTGGTGGTTTAGCGCAAGAGAGCAGTACGGGTGGATTCAGGCAAGGGGTCTGCACATGGGGAAGTGCGTCATTATGAAGTAATTTCTGCAGTAATTTAGGCTGATCCCATCCTGATTCTGCATCTTTTGCCACCATCGGGAAGCACTGACTTCCCCAGAACTCTGTGGCCGTGGGAGTGCTGCTTCCACTGCCCGCAGAGGCAGCGGCTGCATGGAGGGGGGGTCACACGGGGCTTCCGAGGGTTGCCTAGAGCAGGGGCTGAGTTCTGAGGCCATTGCCGTAGCTGCCCGGCAGGCAGACTTCACATAATCCTTCTGTTTTCCCTAGTCAGCGCTCATCAGCCCCACATTTCAGGCATCTGAGCTCAGAAATGGTCTTACATAGCATTGCTGCCGGCGACTCTTAAACTAACAGACGTTTCACCTTTCTGTTGCAAAAAGAGGAGGGATGGTGGTTTCTTCTTTTGCATGCAGCCTCTGCTCAGTGTGGCTTAGCTTGGCTTACGGGGATTTCTGGGTTCCCTAGATGGAGTGATGGTCCAGATAACTGCGGAGAACATGGACTCTTTGAGGCAGGCCTTGAGAGAGATGAAAGACTTCACCATCACGTGTGGCAAAGTAGATGCTGAAGACCCTCAGGAACACGTTCATATTCAGTGGGTGGAAGATGATAAAAACTTCAGCAAGGGGTAAGTAGGGGAGCCCTTGCTTGACACAGAGTGGCAGAGGTTGGACTGCATTTGTTACAAAATATAATTGATCTGAAAAGGTGCACGAGCCATCAGATCAACAGGAATTACAAGTCTGTGCCTCTGTTTTGAGTGATAAGATGCAATTAAATGTAGTGAAAATGGAATTGAGATACCAGAGCTCTGGGGCATCAATTTAGAAAGCTGTCAATGCTATGGATTTTTTTTTTGCCATTGCTAATACCCAGTCATTGGAAACCACTGATCTGCCTCCAAGCCTCGGTGCTGATCCCTGCGTGCTGTGGTCACTTCGCTCCCCGGCTGCTTACTTTGCATTAAGTAGTGCTGGAAATAAAACTGCTGACCACTGACAGCGTATCTGGGCCGTTAAGCCGGAAGAAAGGTCTATCTGGCAGCTTCAGTACTTACAGCATTAAAGTGCAGTTGTGGTGGGTACAATATTTAAGGACTCAGCATTGAAAGAAGGGTATTTCTGTAGTTTCAGGCTCTCTGAGTCAGTCTTAGGTGCTGTAGTTAAATTCTGGGCTGTGTGTTTCAGGTATTGCTGGCCTACACCACGGTTACAGATGAGTAAGCCCAGTCCCTATGGAACGCCTCATTGCTGCGTTAGCACCTTAGGAGAGGTCAGCCCTGCTGAAGACCTTCAGGAAGGTCCTTCCTGCACCTGGTTTGTGTTGACCAGGGCAAGAGCTGCCGGGGCGAGCAGGGAGCATGCTGCTTCTCAGCTCCTCCCTCCTGCTCAGCCCCGTAGGAGCCATTCCAGAAGGGCTGCTCACTGTGAAGCTCCAGGCCCAGAACCATCGTCACAATTTGCAGTTGTGTTCAAGATCCACTGGTTTTGGCACCCCAAGAGAAGCTTTCGGATTCTCTCCCGAGGTTCTCTCCTGAGGCTAATTTTGGTCTGTGCCCCATTAAGCTGATGTGGTACGTTGCCGTGTAGTAGCACCAAACTGCAGAACACTCAGTCACAAAACCACCTGCGGGGAGGCAGCTGGAGCATCAGGTGTAGCCGGAGCTGCCCTTCAGTCCCGCTGGTCTCTGTTCAGCTCACGTCTCCTGCTAAGTCTGAACTTACCCTTTTCCCTCCCCTGCAGTGTTGTGAGCCCTATTGATGGCAAATCGATGGAGTCGATAACGAGCGTGAAGATATTTCACGGCTCGGAGTACAAGGCGAACGGAAAGGTCATTCGGTGGACAGAGGTGAGTCAGTGAGCTCGAGCTGCACGGAGACCAACACCTGGCACCTGGGGATGGCAGCTGCAGCCCGGCCGTCTTCCCACCTGCTCACCAAAACTGAAGCAGCAGGTTCTTCCCAGCAAACCTGTGTCTCCCTGCGAGGGAAGGTGCAGTACGGCACCGCGCAGAGTAAAACCACCCTCCTAGAGGGAGACAAAGCTCAGTAATTATTTCTTAAAAATGGTATTTTGAGCCACCTTCTCTACAGTGTCAAAGTTAAAGTGTCGTGGCACAGATCCCTTGCCGAAACGGCTTGCAGATCCAATGCTGCCTGTGACTGCTCACCTGAAAAGATGGCTGCAAGCGTTTCCTTAGCCTGCCCAGGAGGAGCCAAGCTCCTCGCTCTGCAGCTTCCTGCCTCGGCAGCCTTTGCTCCCAGGTCACTGGGGCGCGGCAGAGGCAAGCTTGGTGACAACAGCAGGACAGATCTTCAGGCTGCAATGGCTCCTACTAACAATGTGCATTTTCTGAAATTCACATCTGTTTAAAAGCAGGTTTTTATTAAAAGCTACGTGCAGTACTTAATGAATTTCCATAACGAGACCAGAACAGAAAGGGGTTTTAAGAATACACCTCTTCAAATCTTTCTTTTGAAGTTTTCTTAGGGGGAAAACTAAGGTGGCTTTTCAGAGTCTTTTGCTGGTCCTCCCTGAGCAGCTCTTCCTTAAGCCATTTGTAAAACGTTAAATGGCATCTCAGCCACAGCCTTATTTCCTGGAGGATCTAAGTGTCACATCTTGCGCCAACTCTTTCCTTCAGGTGTTTTTCCTGGAAAACGATGAGCAACACAACGGGCTGAGCGACCCAGCCGACCACAGCAGGCTGACTGAAAACGTGGCGAAGGCCTTCTGTTTAGCGCTCTGTCCTCACCTCAAACTGCTGAAAGAAGATGGGATGACGAAGCTCGGGCTGCGTGTTACCCTCGACTCGGATCAAGTAAGTCTTCAGCGCTGTCGGTGTAACTGGGGGGGTTGTTCCTTTGCGCATTCCCCAGAAAGGGAACGCGCCGACCGCTCTCTTGGTGAAAGACGTACACGTACCAGAGCAGCAGTGCTCGCTGGGGTGGGGGTTCTGGGCCTGCTGTTAAAACTGGGAAGCTCAGGCCTAGAATGAACCCCACGCCCCTACAGCACTGGGGCTGTAGCCAGGGGCCTGAGCAGCCCTGTGAGCTGCAGCACCTGCTTGGAGAGATCTCCAAGTTGGCCTTTTCACCGGAAGCGAAAGACGGGAGCGTATGAAATGTCTTTCTTGGGTGAGCATAAAGCATCGCTCAAGCCGGGCGGCTGGGAAAAGGTCGTGCTGCCGCTGAGGCAGGGAAGCAGGCGGAAGGGCCCCTCGAGAGGGCTCTACAGCAAGTCACCAGCAGAGATAAGGGTCTCATGGCCAGGCAGCTCGGTGGGGACCTGGGCTTAGTACCAACCAGTGTCTAAACACTGCGTGACTTATCCTGATAACGCAGGGCGCGGCTCCTGCTCATCTGAACTAGACGCTTTGACAAAGCGGTAGAAAAAAAAGAGGCCCCTTCTGTCCGTGCTGGCAGCCACTGGGAACACAGTGAACAGAACCAAGCGGCAAAGCTGCTGTACCGCTGCCGCCTCCTGCGTGAGTGCC